GCTGCCTGACCTGGTCCAAATGATTCTAGGTTGTGGCACACCCTTTGCACGACATACCATGGAAACATTATTCGTTTCATTAACTGTGTAGCTGCTTTTATAGAATGTAATTTCTGGTGGATCTATTAAGAGAAAAATAGGTCACTCAGGCAACACTGACATAAACCCAATGAAGCTCTTACGCATTATATATTGATGTATTCAGAGTCTACTTCAGTAACTGAACAGGTAAATATCGCTGGCATAAATGTATTATTATTGATCATGAGTATAGAAGTACAAGCGAAAAATATCATTCGATGTAAGAACCCCTGATGATACAGAAAGCCATCATTAACATCAAATTCAGCATACATACTAAACTAACAGTACTGTAACTTGAATAGAATTTGCTTGAATAGAACACTCGAAGTATGCTACATTCTGAGGCATCCAAATAACTGTAACTAAAATACCTTTTGATGTGTGAGAAATGATTACTCACAGCGGACCTCGAGCTCTGTAGTTTGACTCTCTTTGACTGGTTAAGAAAGCGTGGCTCACAAAAACCATATACTTCGTATATTTAATGCTTTCCAAAGAATCTCGGTGTTTTTAAAAACTTATGGAGTCCTTTGATCATGAAACTATGGTGTACATTTAAAGCCTATATCAACTAAATGTCTTGGCTTGACAGAACTCCAGTGCGATGTATTAGATCTACATGGGACGTCGTGACCGCCTCATGGAAAAAGGCCAGTCAAACGGTTCAAGAGCCCCGCATGACAGTTCCATTCTCAGCCAGTTTTATAAATATATTAATACAAGTTTAGGTCGGTACACGCGCACAACAGAACACACAGTAAGCACTAAGTACATACAACACTAGAATGGTATTACTATAGAATAAATAGAGAGAATAACAAAGTTCAACGGTTCTAGTATTATGTCCAGTAACGGCCAAGGTTGAACCAGACAGGAGCGCTTGATCAGTGCTCTAAAAGAGTCTACAAGGTCTGGAGTCACTAGATTGGATATGTATCTTGTAAAGATTCTCAGTTTTGGGCCAACCATCTAGTCACGAAGATACCTGAGAGGGCATGCGGAGAAGGATACAAAAACTTTCAACGTGTTTCGTGCGATAACACAGAATCACAGAATTATTTGCAGACAAATGATTGATCTGCAAGATACTGACAAATCACGATATTTTGCGATAGCCGAGGTCAATAATCGTCTCATCATCCGATCATCAAGTTTGTTTTCGTATTTAAATCACTCTCTAAGAGCTCAGGGAAACGATTTTGCAATTTTTATACAAGAGCGTGGTCACAATTACAGTTGAGCAGAATGTTATTAGCAGCAAAGCACATTTCACTGGAAAAGTTGACCCATTTACAGACTTTATGAAATGTCTGCAGATCCTGAATTTACAGACTTGGTCACCTATTCGGCTTAAAAACAAAATGTCTGTAAATTTATTTTACAAAGATTTTGTTTAGTTTTTAGTTCTGTTCATTTCAAAATGTTTGTAAAATGTTTGTAAATTGTACCAGCTAGAATAAGAGGAAAGACCTCATAATTTACAGACTTAACAAAATCTTCTAAGAGTGTGTTTAAATTTACCATTTACAAAGATTTTACGCGTTTAGCCTGATCATGTAAAATCTCTGTAAATTGA